GTGTACGTGTCTGTGAGCCGCTTAATTCTGGGAATCAGAGATTCGGAATAGAACTAATTCTTTAGTGCTTTTCTGTTAAGATGATTCTATTTAAACACAATTAAACGCTTCCTTTGATAATAACCGAACATTATCATTATGAATTATGTGAGTAAACAATATATATTGTTCACTATTTAGAATATTCCAGTCGATTTTCTCCAGCAAATTTTGATAACTTTTCTCCCTGCAATGCGGGGTTCCAGGCTCCAGCGGGGGTCTCCATGATCTAAACATTACCAGCTCAAAACTACACTTCAAATACCGACCAAGGGCGTCGACATATTGGTGAGCTAGCTAGCAATTAGTTGAGCAGTGTTTTATACGACCAGCACTGAGTAGTGAGTACACCACATCCCGCGGCTATTAACTAATTGATCACGTGATGAAGAGCACCACACGCTATCCAGACCATTCCTTAGACTCTTGGGGGTCTTAGTAATGCTCTGTGCTGTACTCTATTGCATATCATTATTACTTCTCTATAAAAGAACGAATCAGCTGGAATGAATGAATAAAACTCTGTTGTTCTTTGTAACATCGTTGTTTTTTGTTGAAGTGCTTTTTGCCGTGTGAATTTATCCGTATGTCAACGTGATCACTACGTTTTTTAACGTGCGAATTTGATATTTAGCTTTCTGCATATTTTTACTGCCGTGCAATGTTTTACAACTCTGAAAGTCACCTGACCTTGTTTAATAAACACATATTTAATATTATGGATGGCACATCTTCATGCGTGATCAGGGTTTTAACACTGTATTATTAGCCGTGTTTTGAAGCCATTGTGCACAATCGTTCTGCTTGCAATTTTGAAGGCACATTATTACCAATGTCTGTCTTCGTAGACTACCAGAGCCAGTTTTTTCGTCTCATTAAATCTCTCTAGAAAAGAGAAGAGACAAAAGATGAATGAAATATATTGACTGGTCTGCACGGCGTGAGGTATGAAGTGCACGTCATCGCCTAGCAGTCTCAAGCGATGCAGCGTAGGCGTGGTATTAAGAGCGTATAGTTTCAATTATCTGACAATTGTTTTACGATAACTCAGCCGCCACATGTTTGTTCTCAATGTCAACTTTACCGCTCTCTCCTACTTAGACATCATGACCAAACCGTCAGTAATTGTGATCTCAGAGTTAGATCTCTTAATAAAGTTGCCCTCTAATCAACACTTAATGATTTGTTAATTAACCAATAATTAACAAAAGACTGGCTGCCTCCACCCCCACGCTCCGGTTTAAACCCCGAACTACCCACGTGGGTCCCGGGACAAAGTACATGCGTTTAAAAGGCACACATCACGTGATCACCTCAAATCAGATGGATCCAGCCTCTTGATAATGAACTTGTTAGGCTGTAATGATCAGTGAAATTCGATCCAGTACCGGCTGTGGTAGTTGGTTGGTTTTGGCCGGATTATCAGCGTGAGCTGGCTAGTTAGTCTCTTAGTTGTCACTTTTGTTCGTCACCAGACGTGTAGTGGCCTGTGTTTTTTCTTCATTTCTAGGAGGTGTGTCATATGATGGACATTTGTTATGCATTATTTTTAAAACAAGTTTAACGATCAAGACCACTCTGCAGGGTTACGTTGTGAAGGGGTAGGTTGTGAATTTAGTTAGTGTCCGGTACAGGTTTTGATCCAGGGTGTAAAAATGAAATTAAAGACATTTCTGATCAGCCCTTATTTGGACATTAGACTGATATAACCATAGTCATCCAGTATTTCCGGCCAACCTCCTGAGTTTGGCTACCTCTTTTACCCTAGGAAATCAATAGTATTAGTATGACTCATTGTGTAATAGAACAGTTAATTAGTTGTCATGGTCACATTTTTCTCAATTGAAAACGTTAGAAGTTATTGTCAGAAATTTGGTAGGACTTACAACTTAACAATAAAGCTGTAAGGAAAATCGTTGAGTTATCTTTGAAGTCTATTGATGGGTAAACGTCAATAATTAGGGTTGCCCATGTTGGGACCCATTCGGTATTAAACCATTAGTGCTTTTAACAAGCAGTCCCTAGTCTCTAGCTGTAGTCCGGTTACAGGTTAAATGTCTACGTTTTTTGTATGCTACGTAGAGATAGGAAACTCGCTATATATCCTGACTTCCCCTTACGACCGTTCCGATTTCTACCTGTTATAGTTATAACAGCAACATCTAAAGGTGATAGATATTGTCGTGAAACTTGTAGCTAGGCAGGAACAGTTTTAGTTTGCGTTAACAAGAAACTTGCCAATTTGACTTAATTATTGGTTACATTTAATTACGAATGGTTTGCGTCAGATGCATGGTAATTGGTAAAGACATCTTTTAATTGTTGTGGATTATTTCAATGTATAATACTTGGGATGTGGTTTGATATTCGCAGATTCGTTGTAACCATAATTGCTATCAGTGAATCGAAACCTTTGTGATTACGGGGACTTAACATTTCACCCATCCTGCCGTTTTAAACATATTATCTGAGTTAGGGTTATTTAGGGATTAGTGTAACATTAGTTAAACAAGACGTATTAGTTGGGTGGGAAAACGTCCTGAGATAAAATTTCGAAGGATCATATGTCGTGCTAAGTTCCTGTTAAATTAGAGCTTAAGAATTGTTAAAATCGTTATCAATATGTTGCCACGTCCCTTTGAATGAGCTATTACCTTTTACTGCCATGAATGCCCTGCTGTAAACAGGATACTTACAATATGATAACTATATGACTTAATATAATGTTACGCAATATGTACTCACTGTTAAGTAAAACTACTCACACTACTCTCTGACACCCCAATAGTTGTTCAGACTGGTCTACTGGGTGTATTCTCGTGTCCACACCGCTGTAGTAGTTAATTCGTATTCGCTCGAGCTGTACTCAAGGTCAAATTGTTTGTAGGATATTCAATTGGATCGTTGATTTATCATTGTTTTTTGGAATTTGCAGAAGAATGAATTTATATATTTGGGTTCGTGTCCAGTGTTTCTCCATTGTTGCTCCAGAACGGTGAAAAATCACGCCTGCGTATCACATATGATAACCTCATCTGCATACTTGATAAGTACGGAGCAGTACTTTAAGTTCATGTAAACAGTGTCTTTGTAATTAAATAGCCAACTCAGGTGTCCGGCCGTATTATGTCAAAATGACGAAGTTAAGATCATACTCCTTTATAAACAATGTTGCTTTATCATCGCACCGAATAATATCCATTATTCAGGTACATTGCCTGTATATATTATAATGTCAGTCAGTAACTTTTATTTAGCTTTCAGCAGGTTGTTTGTGTCCTAGTGCTCTGTCTTGTCATGCTGTAGAATTGTAATACAAAGAGTCGTGATCAAACCGTCGAGCTAACTCTCCGAAACTCAGCTAGGTGTGGTTGTTATAACTTTTCTTAACTTTTATAAAGCAGAAGGTTAATTTACTCATTTGAAACTCGGTGATCTGGATCACCATTCAGTGATTAGTGGCAGTGCTCGATGAGTGAGTCATCGATATGGCTCATTGGTAAATGGTATCTCTGATTACCACCAATTCAACTTTCTTAACAACTCAACTTTGTCTGACTCACGCTCAGTAGTAGTTAGTAAAGTTGAACTAAAAAGTTTCAGCGTTTCAAAATATTCAGTATTCATGAGAAACAGTACAATGCAACACCTTCCCGTTCTCAAGTTTAAAATATCTCTACCATTTGGTAAAGATATTTGTTTGGAAATAATTCAAATTCCTCGTGCATCGTGCTTTGTCCACCATCTGCTGTTGTGTGTGATGCGAGGCAGTGTACATCGTACAGGTATAAACTGTAAATATTCAATATTTTCATGTAAATATTCGCTTTTAACTTGTGTTTAGTCGTACTCCTAATCCTCATGTCTTACGTAGTTTAACTTTGGAGTTAAACCAACATCATCGGCTGGAAATAAATTTTAAACGAGTAAAGAGGTCAAGAATTTGATTAAGTAAACTTATTAGTTAATGACCGCCTAACGTTGTTGGGAATTATCAAGATGACTGTATTAGGTTCACACGTATCCTTTACATTCTTCACCACAGTGATAATTCCCATAATGTTATGGTATTGTACTTTCACCCATATTAATTCATCACTATTATTGGTTTTTTGTATTCAAAGTCCTGTTTAGATCGCCACATTTGGACTTTTAATCCTGGTGCTGTTTTAAATTAACGTACAGAATTCTTGGCATACCAAATCTTCACGCAAACATTTCCCAAACACCTACAACTTTACAGCTTTCTGGTCTCTCCTATTTATGATGAACAATGTATTGATAGCGCTCAAATTCGTTTGATACCGGCTCAGCCATCCTTTTCCAAAAAAATATGCCATTTTTGCAGACAGCTAATTTTGTTCGTTTCGTGCGTTTACCTACCGCTTACCGAAAAGCATTCGACAATCTCACTGTACAGTGTTTAGTGCGGCAGTAGAGAAATTACACGCTGTACACACAGCACTCAAGGCAGTAATGATCCGACGGCGCCAGTTGATCTCTGCAAATGATATAAGGACAGAAAAAAAAGAGTGCTTAACAGCTTGTTTCTGTTTTGTGACCAGTGATGAAATATTGTGATTAATATCATTTGAAGCAGACTCTGGTAATAATAGAAATTGATCGGTGGTCCGTACCCGAACTAAAGCCCTACAAGTGTGGATACTGGTGGGGAGGTGAACCACATTTGTTTTAAGACATGACAGTAATCTTATGCTTTGAATGGTTAATGCTGCAAACTCATTGGTAAATGGCTGTCACGTGACAGATAATAAAAACACGGTTCACGTCTCCACCAGTATCTAGATCTATTATTATCACTACTAGTAGGGATTTAGTTCGGTTAGGGATAAAGTACCTTCTCCCGGCGGAATCCCTAACAAAACCACGTCTCAGCTTTATCTATCGCCTGATTGCTCCAACACACTCTGGAGATTCTACCACCACACAGTGAAATAACCAATTAATTGTTTAGCACATAGCAATCTGTTTCGGGAGTGGTCAAACAACAACGCCCACCATGGAAATATGATCTTTTACTTGCTTTTCCTTGTCGGACCCTCATTCACGACCCAAGTTCCCCGGATTCCAGCCGCCTTCGCTAAATCGTGAGTACTTTACTGTACTTTACTGTGCTTTACTGTACTTTACTGTACTTTACTGTACTTTACTGTACTTAATTACTGTGCGATCTTGAGATTTACTTTACTTCTAGAGTGGCTTTTCATTAGTAAATTAGTAAACAGGAGTGCAGGACATTGAAATCTAGGTGAAATGTAATCCCAACACTTACTCAGTTTACCTTTAAAACTATAAAAATAATAATCATACTCACTACTCATCTTTAATCAAGTAACGAAACTCCAGGACCGTAACGTGTGAGGTGGAGTTTGATAGCCCAGTTAGGAGAGTCTACCCTGAATATAGTATAGTAACAGGGGAGCGGTTTATCGCTCAACTACACCTCCCCTCCTGCTCCATTTCCTCTCACCAGGTAGCTCATCTTATTGTAACACTCTCACTTGGAAATAGATAAACCACTATCTGCTAGAAACACTAATTAGCGGGCCCAGAGCCAGGGTTGGCAGCATGATCTGGGGATAGTGAGACGATGATGGTTGTGATCTTATCAGTTAATTAGACTAATTAATCCAGCTCCCAATAGATAAAATGTGCATGTTCACACATTTGCCCTCCACAGACCCACGCCAGCTCACCATGTACAGACGACACGTGCTCGGACCAGTCCACGAGTGTAGTCAAGGTAGATAACACCACCCTCTACTTCTGCTACTCTGATAACGAGGACCCTAAACCCTTCACTGCTAACCTCCTACCTAATAACACCTACGGTAAAACAATACAAAACACCCACCAGTTACTGTCACCACCATTAATTATTACCGGCAAATTATAAATTATCAGTATTCTGAGTTTGAAGCAAAATTTCAACTTGCTGTCAAATAACGAGCCCCATTTTAACAGAATATACAAGTGGAGGACTTTCAGAGATTTGTCTTGATGACGTAAATAAGACCTCCTTCACAAATCTAAACCTTGATGATGGATTGCTCTATGTCGCTTCAGGATCTTTTGATACAGGCCTCAAATATTACAATATTTCTAAAGGTGGGTAATTTTAATTTGAAATTAAAGTTAAGATCTCCGAGACAATAAATCAAATTATATCATTCACATTATTGGTATCGCTAGGTTATTAATCGTTGATAGAGAGTTTATTTCCACGATAGTTTAAAGATTAATATGAGTTTCATGAGATTCCACCGCACTATCCACCCGTACGCCGGCTTGTCCGCCAATACCCTTCAAATATGTAAATATTTTGTGTCTGTCTGTTTTAAAGACTGTCTTAATTCATGGAAACAATACAAGGGAATAATGCAAGTTCAAAGAAATGCCTCTGAGTAGAGTTTTGAACAATATTTATACTACTCGCATATTACAAAACATTCAGACACGGAAATTTTCATATGACAAATTCTGAAGACAAATCAAATATTGCGCCAAGGACTAGGATCAGGATCAGGTTTAGGGTCTGGTCCCTCATCCTCACTACTACTTCCTCCATCGTTCTCCTCCAAGCAAACTCCACACGTTTTAGCACAGTGTATCCTGAATAGCGGCTCAGTTTCACAGTATCCACGCTGCAGGGCTGTACTACAGATCTTACCTGCAAAAGGTGGGTTGTCTCCACAGAGGTTACACTGGTGACACGACTCCGCGCAGTGGGTCAGCATGTAGCTAGGGTTGCTCTGACACTTGCCTGCCAGAGCGTCCATGACACAGTTCACTGAGTTATCACCACACTCACACACATTACACGACAGAGGACAGTTGACCAGGGTGGCAGGGTGGCCAGCACACTTACCCTGAGCAGCCAGCAACAGGCACTTCACAGTGTGTTCTGCTTTGTCCTGACATTGACAGAACTCACATGTTTGTTTGCAGTTGATCATCATCATCTTGACGTCTGTGTAGCACTTACCTTCTTCAGACCAGGCCTCACACCTCTGGTCCAGGTCTCCGCACACGCATTGTCGGCAGGAGAACGGACACTTCTTCCTTATTTCAGGTTTCAGGCAGTCTCCTATGCGAGCTGCTAAAACACAAGTATCCTCTTGGTCCACACACTCCCCTACTTCTTCTGTAGGCTCTACTTCTGTGGGTACTACCTCAGTGGGTAAAACTTCAGGAGTGCATATTTTACAGGACGCTGCACAGTGAATGTTCATAAAGTCAGGGTTTGCGTGACAAGCGTGGGGGTTCCTAGTGACCCACACCGCACAGTCACTAAGATTATCCACACAGGCACCTTTACACTGGCTACAAGAAGCCTTGCAGTGCTTCAGCATGTATCTCATATTGATCACACACTCGCCTCTCCCCGCCCTCACTTGGCAATCTGCCACAGTGTCCTCGCACGTGCAGTGACCACAGCTCGCCGCGCACCTCTCTCCGTACCGGAAACAGTTATGCCTGGAGCTGGAGTCATAATTTCTCTCTGTGATCTGCTGGCAGTAACTAGCTGGGTATCTATCTTTACATGTACATCTCCCACAAGTTTGCTTGCAGTGGGTTCTCATCCAGGTGTCAGAACAGGACCTCACCTTCAGCTCCTCAGCGCAGTTCCTGGCATTGTCTCCACAGGAGCAGTCAGAGCAGGAGAACTCACATTGTTTGTAGACCGCGGGATCTGTACACAGACCTGCTAGTCTAGAGAACACGCAGGATTTAACATCATCTTTACATGAACAACACCCTAGACCTTGCACTCCATCCTCGCATGCACACCCTTCTTCTACTTCTTCTTCTTCGTTGATCAGATCTGTTTCATCTTGTGTCTCGTTTACATCGTCTCGTCTTCCCTCTGTTAATGCTAGCGCTATCCCAAGTAAAAGTATCACAAAAGTACGCATTGTGCCAAAAAAATCTGGTTCGGATTCGAAACTGGTTCGCACAAAAGTGTTTTTCCCCACTGTTTGCCGTTTTTTCACTTCAGTATTTTATTTTGCACCATGCTGTTAAACTGGATCTCCCATTGTTCTTATTTATTAAACAGATGGTTTTATTTGCTGAGGTTTGAATAAATCACTGAACTGGCTAAAATGAATTCGATTTAGCTAAAGTCTCTATTTCGGTTAGAAATGTAATTTGATGGAAGTGCTTTAACCAGGTGTAGCCAGTCCACACCCTGGTTCCTTGATATGAAGGAATTGTTTGTTTGGGCCCGGACGGTGCCGGTGGTTCTAATGACCATTTACTAAAATACATAAATACAAAATACAATATAGTATAAATATTATAATCAGAAGTTTTATAAATCCTATCCGTCCAAGTTAAACTTGAAGGGCGCTACACGCACGACGAAAACTCCCTTTAATGTGAGCTGAAGTAGACTACTAGTAGTAGAGCTAGTAGCGCTTGAAATTGACAGAACTGAAAACGAAATCTGACAATTGTCGCGAAAACTGACAGTTTTGTGTGCTCAAAGTGTCGAGAAATACTGACAGTGCAAGACTGGGCACACAAGAGTGAGTTAAAACATCCTCCACACAAAAAAAACTTGAATACACTAATAATAATCAATTATTAAAAACACACAAGCTCATTCTGCAGTCTTATTAGTCTTATCAGTACTCTTTATAGCACCGTTTCTGATAAAGTGTAGCTTTATCGTTTTAATTCTAAATAAAAAGCTCGAATAAACCTCCCACCTGACAGAGGAATTAAGAGAGCCTCCCAGTCCAACGAATAGAGGAGGTGAAGTAGTGGAAATGACAGGGATGTTCGTAAGAGGAGACTATATCTACACTGTTTATCTGGTGAGAAATAGCTTACTTTGTAGAAACCTCGTTTACATTAAGTTACTTCCTTACCAAAATGTATTGGTTGATCTGATGTGGTTTTATTTCTTGGTTTTACCAGATTTCCCTCCCAGGATAAAGATGTCAGTCGGATAACAAGGTCCTGCAAGAGGGATCTGTCCAGTTTTACAAGGCAACTAACAACCTTTACTGTTGCTAAGATACAGTGTCTCAACTCTGTTAACAGCGAAGAGGTTAGGGAGGTTCAGTTTGTTGAACAATGTTTAGATTCTACGAATTGTTAGTATCTTTAAACGTTTTAAAACTGAACTTGGTAATCGGTATTGGCCCTAATTTATTAAAATTTTGAGAATACATGGCCTAAAGTTTCATAATCCACTCTGAACATGGTAATTAGTAATAGTATTGGCTCTGATTCACGAAAATTTGGAGAATACATCTACCACCCAGTATATATATCTATTGCCCTAAAATAACTAGCAAAACTTGACTTTTGAACAGTATAAAGTATTCCAAGTTCCAACATATGCACTTCGGATTCATATCATCTTTGTCTTGTAACGTCTTGTAACGTCGTGTAACGTCTTGTAAACGCAGGTAATATTAGATCGAGTGTTAGCGTTGGAATTCGACAGTGACTTAGATAAACTGTTCATATTGACTACCAAGAAACCAGTGACATCCTCCATTGTGGCTCTGTGTGTTATAGACGTGGCTACTGATATTGATGACGTGTTTGATACTGCAGATTACGAAAATTACGATATCGACGGAAAACTGATACAGGTACATTTACCATTATTCATCCTGACAGTTTACAAAACTCTACAATACTGTTGAGCTGCAATAAGGAAATGAGACCTTGTAAATATTTCAAGAAACTTTCAGACGAGACGAATAGAAAGCAATCATGCAAAGTTATGTTACTGAATTAAAGTAATGTGGTATATTTGCTACACTATTTCAATTCAGTAACAAATAGCCACTACAGATTTGTAAACACCTAAATAAACCATAATTTCAGTCACCGCAAGGAGTGATAGATTGCTCCACTTCAAGGAACGGAGAAGTGCAGACAGTTTGTGTTGACCCAGTCAGGACCTCCAGTGTAGCTGCAACTCTTGAATACACTGATGTTTTCACCTTCACTTCATACAAGACATTAGACCATCATATGTTCTACTTTCTATGTGGTAAGAGGCTTAGTCAGTGAATTAGCAAATAGATAATGATAGACAACCAGATTCCCATCAAAGTGCTGCTAGCTTTCATTAGATCTCAACTAATCCCTCTCCTCAGATGACAGTATCTACGTGTACCAGTACTACCCGGACACTGATAAAACTAAGGGATTAGTAGATGTCTTCTTGTGGGAAGAAGCCTCCTCCATTTCAATATACGAGGATAAGTTGTATCTGACCCTGGAGGAGAGTGTTTTTATTACTGATCCTTACTGGTGCTCTTTCTATGGAAGGGTAAGTGTTAGACTTGTATAGTTCACTATAATGTACACAACAGTTTTAAGTGCCATTAACTTTTAAAACTGTCATTTTGCACTTATTATTTCTTTACATAACCATCAGGTTGAAATTGTACTGAAATCAGTCCATCTTGAACCCGTCCATTTATACATATTATCTGCCGTTCTTGGAAATGTGGTAAGCGATGAAATGAAAAACGATTTAATTTGAACATGATGTTAATTATATTTTTTCAGGACCCGATAGGTTGTATTGGCTCTATGCACCCGAGTTGTTCGTACTCAAAAACACAAAGTCGGTGCTTGTCAAAAACTGAGGTTTGTTTTTATGTGTTAGTTTGAGTTGATTTTCCCCTACTTCCAGCCAACTTAAACCACTATGTCTCCAACTTTCCACTCTGTCTCCAACTAACCACTCTGTCTCCAACTAACCACTATGTCTCCAACTTTCCACTCTGTCTCCAACTAACCACCCTGTCTCCAACTAACCACTCTGTCTCCAACTAACCACTATGTCTCCAACTTTCCACTCTGTCTCCAACTAACCACTCTGTCTCCAACTAACCACTCTGTCTCCAACTAACCACTATGTCTCCAACTTTCCACTCTGTCTCCAACTAACCACTCTGTCTCCAACTAACCACTCTGTCTCCAACTAACCACCCTGTCTCCAACTAACCACTCTGTCTCCAACTAACCACTCTGTCTCCAACTAACCACCCTGTCTCCAACTAACCACTCTGTCTCCAACTAACCACTCTGTCTCCAACTTTCCACTCTGTCTCCAACTAACCACTCTGTCTCCAACTAACCACTCTGTCTCCAACTAACCACTATGTCTCCAACTTTCCACTCTGTCTCCAACTAACCACTCTGTCTCCAACTAACCACTCTGTCTCCAACTAACCACTCTGTCTCCAACTAACCACCCTGTCTCCAACTAACCACTCTGTCTCCAACTAACCACTCTGTCTCCAACAGTGCGCTGAAACAGACGAGTGTGTGCAGGACCTAGAGTCAGGATCCTTCTCAGCCAGGTTTCCTGAGGGGTACAGTTACCAGATAATAGGTACTGAGTGTCTGAACCAGAAGATATACTCCGACCTCACTGTAACCATCTTCCCCAACTCTACTGTCACTACTGTCACCACTTACAGAGGTAACTTATACTGCCTAGTGTCTGTTGTGAACAAACCTACACGTCAGATTTACACCTTGATATTGAGAAATGGCTAGTTAGTACAATAACCAGGTGGACACTAAATAATCCTTTAGATTGCAGTGATGGCCCTGTTAACCCTGTCACCAGAAAACCAGATCCAGTGGTCCAAAATTCTGATTTCTTCAGTCCTAGAGAAATCGGATTTCTAGCCGGAATGGCCGGTTTCGCCGCTCTTTCGCTATTTCTCATCATCATTGTCTGCAAGGGCAAAAACAAGGTGAGTTAAGATTTTATTCATCCCAGCACCCCCTGAAATGATATCCCTGAATGTGCAGTTTAATTCACCTAATCACTAATATCACTTATAATCGATTGGGTTTAGAACGGTTATCAGATGATCGAATCTTTAAAGGGTTATATAGTGATACAATCGTGACTAGAATGATGTTTGTAAAGCACTCACTTATTCAATATAGCTGAGTGAAAGTAAGAACCACAGATCGCTCACCCCAAAGAACAGTGTCACCCCGATCATGGCTTGAGGCGATGTTGCTATATTTCACATGGCAGGTGAAGGATGTATACTATGTCGTGTTAGCTGTATCCATAATCCATGCACACGTTAACTGCATCATGCATGTCTTAGCAAATTATAGAAATTGTTGAGATGTCGATGATAAGATCACATCAACCATGCTGATATATCAGTGACAGTGTCATACTATCGAGTGCACATTTCGCACCATTTTCAGGTGTATGAGAGAATTTGTCCCGTTCAAAGCCAATAGTTTAGCAAGTGTCTCGAATGTGTCTCAAATGTTACTCGTAAGCCTGAAGCAGCCATTTGATGTTCTCCTCTACAGCTTTTGTGACTCTACATTTTGATCAGACATCGTTACCGAAGAAAGCGTTTTATTTTAATTCTACCCAATGCATAATTAACCATTCTTTCCGCGCTGTTACTTTTATCCAGCTGAGCTGAGCTTTAACGAAAGTTCTTCGATATTCATAAAATCAGCACAAAAGAGTTTATAAAATTCTCTAGAATTTTGTACAGCCCAAAAATGTCCAACGTTTATTTCTTCTACTTGTCAATCTTCATAAAACTGAGTGTCTCGCAGCATCGCAGCACTAACTAAAGCTGTTAACATGAAATCCTATGTATAAACTAGTACTGTCACATTGCTCTCTACTTCATTTCTAGCTGTGCCACTATTCTTGTGTTCACAAAATTCATGATGTTTCATATTAAATTGACATCATCATAACACTTCTTTCAATTCCAGGTAAATATCTGTAATGGTTTCAAACTAGACCCCCCAAAGATAAAGTACACAACTGAAGACAAGCAAGCAATAGTGGACCCCACCACCCCCACCACCCCCACATCTGACTGCTTCAACGTTACTAATGGACATCAACTGGTCATCAGAAATCCTTCGGCTAATGCGGATGATGATCTGTATGACACTGTAGATTACTCGGATGAACTTCGACTTAGGGTGGCTTCAACGTCCGAACAGAGATAGTATTTTTCCAAATCTGTCTATCCAGCATGAGTTTGTTTATCTCCTTGCTGTCGTCAAGCCCCGTGTCCCTCCGAAGGATGTAAATATATGTGATAATCGTCACAACATCTACAGCTTTCTTGTGAACTCAGATTGAGATGAATGGAGAGATGACTGCGTATTTTCAATAGCTCTTGTGATTTTGTCTGCTTATGATGCTTATGATGAGCTGTTAAAAGAATATCCACAGGATTAATTCTTAATTTTGAGTAAATTTATTTTGTTTTTACTGGTTGATAACATATTATGATTCTTAATCTTTGATTTGTATATTTTTGATCCAGAAAGAATTTTATCATCTTTCATAACATCGCATGAAATGTTATTGCTTACATTGCTTGATATTTTGCTATTTTTAGAGCCAACTTGCTCAGCCAAATATTGATACTGTAAAACAAGAAGTATAAATTACTTGCTATGCATGCAACTATTTGCACTATAAAAAAAAGATAATCAAGTAGTAAACAAAGATAATCAAGTAGTGTTTATATACAAGCGCAAGAAACAATTTGATGTTAAAATCTTTCAACTTTAAAATCAAAAGAACCATAATTGAAATTAGCCTTATCAAGATTCAAAAACATTTTATTGGAGTAAGCTGACAGCTCGCTGGTCAATTTTACCAATTTTCAGGAACACTTCTTTTGTCTAACTAAGATATCTTCAGATTATATTTCAGCAGCTAAACTGCGTGCACCTCTAATTTTCATACCTTTCAAATCATGAAAAACTTCGGCATCATTGTTGGACAATGGACGCGTTTACCGGAAGTTCTCAAGATAAATCAATTAAAACGAACTATATGCGTGCAAAAAGAGTAATTACATAGCATAATTGGAATATAATTACATTTCCGTACTAAGCTGCCCTCCGCAATGAAGAGTTGGGGTTCCACCTTAGAATAGGCTGCATCCGCATGCATATCCGTTGTCTTCATCAGCTGCTCTTAGTTCACTGTTTTTGTCGAAATTTTCGACATTCAAACAAAGTATACATTATGTGCATTTGCATTTAACTAAATTCTATTAGGACTAGGTTGTAGCTTTCATCGATGACGCATCTAAATTAATCGAATAATAGTTTTGTCTTTAAATACAGGCTGTACCATTAATTTCCATATCATTACAGAATTAGTCACAGAGGATGTATTTATAATTGCATTGTTCATGACAGCTTTTTCTCCGCTTACGGGTCCATTACTCTGAATAGTGCATGAATAAGACTTATGTAATTGCTAAATTAATAGAAACGCATGTGCAACGTGGTCTGTCAAACTTAAACCGTCTAAACTATTTATTGAAAAAGTAAATTCAGTTTGAAAGATTTATTTCCTATTTATGCAATTTTGTTTTTTTCTTTATTCGTATGTTAATGTTTTATTTTTATGCTAGTGAACTATTTCAATAAATTCATTACGTCAACTAGAAACCAGCTTGTAATGGCCTACTGTTTGGCTTGAGTACGATGTCCAACTTTAATGTGCTTTATTAGCCTAACCTCTACCATTTACTTGATCGTTTCATCTATTGTGAGCTGTGCAGAAAATATCTTGATTTAAATAATATTTTAGATTAAACAAGTCATATTTTCCCGATTTCTTGTTTAAGAGGCGGTGTCTATTTACTGTTTAAGTTTGTCTTTCTGAATGCCTGATTCACCACAGTAATGGATTTTACAGTAAGATGGACAGGATGACTGGGGTTAGTCGAGCTGGCGATTAGCATAATTGAGACAGGGCATTCAATATTGTAATTTGACAGCATTAGATTCCAACACTATGTGTGCGTGAAATGCTAAAATACCTGCAAATTATATTATCTAAACCGAAACGTAACTTCATCTACTCAATCTGTTGAGGTATTCCGATCCAGCTTGAGGAATTATATTAACTTGCCAAAATTCATCCTATTTTGTTTTTTCTCAATTATCGATAATATTACTTTACTACATCTGATAAAATGCATCAATAATAAACTCTTTGGGAATATTTATTTAGAGAATATATGTATTCCTCTGATTTTTAAAGTAATACTTTCTTTTCTATCATATATGCTACGTCATGAAAAACGTTTGCTTTTGACTCTAATTGTAGTTATGCCTATGGGCATGTCGATATTTTCTTATCGTAGTTGTACACATCAGTACCAAATGCACAAATCTGATAGAACGAATATTGGCTGATGGTGTGGAATTAGGTCAATAGTGCGATTCTGCGCCCACCGCACTTATATGCTGCCTCTGCAGTTGGTGTCAGTTTTTTACACCCAAAAAAGTAAATCATGGCCACAAGAATGTTAGTCGCAGTAACACCACGATTGCAAGTAGTGAACTTGACGTCTGACGCGAAAGTTTTTAATTCAAAAATCATATTTTTTCGACTGATTTCAATGCACAAGTACTTACTGCGGGCGTACAATATATGGTCATCGCTTTGGTGCCTGATGGGACGACACCATGTACCACAGGTTAATAAGGTATTCGTTCAGAAAGAATACCTCCTTAAGTTCTCTGTTCTATTATCGAGTTTTGGCTACTCTATCATTGTTAAACTTTTACGATGCAGATTACACTCTAATACAGATTACGAATCTGTAGGTGCTAGTTGTAAGATAACCTGGCCATTAATTAATTTATAACAGTAAAATGGTTCACATAATGCAGGGACAGGAGATGGTGATGCTAGTACGAAACTTAAAAACTTTCAATTGATTTGATTGATTGATTTGAAACTTTTACAAAATAGCAAATATAAAAATGTACAGCAAGTCGAACAAACATATAGAATGGGCCGAAATGTATAAATGCTATAAAGCGTGGGTCAGTGAAACAAGTACAGAGGACAACTTTCAAAACAGGAGTTTTATGGCCGCCCAAAGTCTCAATAACATCACCTCCACCTAGTAATAAAATTATGAAATATGAAAAGTGTGAAACAATCAAATAATAAAATATTCAAAATATATAGTTGTCTCTTAAATACAGATAACGTCTGAAAATTCTTAAAATAATCATCACTCCTTCATATATACTGATCAGTGTCCGAGAGTGTAACTCATGATGACTTCTTATCACGGCTACATACCTTCCCGTACCGGATGTAGTGGTCGAGATGAGTCTGTTCCGCCCTCTTCTTCTTCAGGTCAGTGACCAGATGCTTCCTTGTTGCTCGTTCTTCGCTGGATCTGTCTGGACATATCCATACATCTTTGTGCTTCTCCCTCAGTCTCCCTGTTTTCATCAGAATCTGATGAACCGCTGTTGAGCTTGGGACGGTGATCTTGACTGGTCGGATAGCCGTACTACCTGGCCTCTTCCAACCGACTCTAGTCGCTTCGAAGTGAGGTTTCTCCCCGATCTCCTCCAAAACTGCGGTAACTAGCGCTGGAAGCTGTTCTTCCTCCTCTTCTTTCAGCCCAAACACGATCAGGTTCTTGCTCCTGTCCTCCTCTGCAGCCACACTCTTCATCACCTTCTTCAGGATTTTACTGTTGCAGACCGTACCACTTGCACTGTTCTGTTGAACAGCTGCACTATAGTTCTGAATCCCTGACTCCACCGTTGTTTGGACTGTCTCCTCAACAGACGTCTTAAGCAACTGTAGTTGTTCGTCCTTCTGCATCAGCAGCTGGCCCTGCAGTCTGATCACCTTTTCTTTGTCTGCTAGTGCTTCCGTCTTGAAGCACTCGATGATCTCCTTCAAGAGATACATCTGACTATTCTGCCGACGAACAAGGTCCACTGCATCCACAATCCAGCCAGACAGAGTCTGTTTATCCTTAGTCTTGATCTTTTCACGACTTTCGTAGTCAATTTCACGGTAGTCCATATGCAGGTCTTTTTCTAACTTATCGGACCAGCGTGCAACACAGCCTTCCACATCTTCCTGTTGATCATAGTTGAACTCCTTAATCAACTCCTGGGATCGGGTCAAAGTTGGGTCATCACTCATCCCCCATAGTGTACTTGTATAGTAATGTACAAGTACACACGCAAAGGTAAACTACACGGTAGCAGCAAACTGAACTTATTGCAAATTTACAAAAGATAAGAGAGCTCGGTATTTGCAACACAAGCTACACTGATTACACACACTGATTAATTAATAATGAGCATTCAGTGCCGAGCATATTCTCGGAGCTCTTTGAGTTTGATTGTAAACATTAGATTTAGAATAGCTCAAAAGTCAAAATCTTAAATTCTTGCAGCGAAAATGATAGGTGTTGCAGATTGCATTTGTCGAGGAGCTTTAAATTCCGGCATTATCGAGGCCAGATTGTATCCAGCACCAAATTTAAAACTTATACCAGAATGAACATGAATGTGAAACACACCAAAACGAAGCCACCCCATAATGCGACAGAATCCGACCCATAACGCTACTGTGCACCACTTTAAAGTATATAAATAAAGCACTCTACCATTGAGTATTGAGCGTCTGTCTACTAGGACTAATTATCCACTGCGCTACATCTGTAACTGTGGCAAAATATTTTAAAGAAGTTCTTGGAGCAATTCTATTTCATCCAGTTTTCAATTTTATGGATGTTGGGATGAACCAGTCTGAGTATCATATCATCACCTGCCAGTTAAAACCTGTTAAACTCTAAGTACCGACTACCGACCCAGCCCCGCCAAAGAGAAATTAAACATTCCAACAATTTAATTAGGTGACGGACAGCTACGCCATAATCAATTATAATAGAGACAAGAAAAACGCCATTCTTGTACGCGGTTCGCGAAGAGTATTAGAGCTGAAAATATACCCCTTCTGTTATCTGTAACATCCTCAAGCTTGATTTTATATCAAGACAAAAATTCCAAGTTAGAAATATTTTTGAAATAACTAATTTAATTTAAATTATAACAAATAACACAATCTGTTATTAGTCTTACTTGGTAGAGATGAGTTTGTTATTAAAAGTGTACCATGGATCACACGTGGTCCGTTATGAAAACTGGCTCCGTCCACTTGCACTCTAAGTCTAAGTCTAAAGGTACACAAAGTCACATTTTTTACATCGCTCACTCTTTTTGATCAGAATTTAGAATCATTCTTTTACAATTATCATCAGGGCATCTTAGTTTCTACATTGTTTCAGATAAGCCTATTAATACTGCTGGTGTGGGTTGCTGACTGTCAAACCGAAGAGGAAGTCAACTTTCACGTACAGTTAGAACAGTACCAGCTCCATCATACCCAGTCTGATTACAGTATGCAAAGGTTTCATTTTTTACATTTTGTTCTGTTCCCAGTATGGTAATTTTGGTATGAAACTCTTACAAAAAATGAAATATTTAACAATAGAATTTAGAGACAGTATGAAACAGAGTTCATGGCTCATGATTTAATTATGGTAAGCTTACATGAACGTAACTTGTAGATCAGATAGATCTTACTGTTATTGTTATGCTAAACAAGTTCTCCTTTTTCATGCATAATTCACTCGCTTAGTCTTCCCGCACGCGTGGAGAGGCAAATGTGGCAGCATTGTCTCGCTTAGTCTCCCCGCACGCGTGGAGAGGCGAATGTGGCAGAATTGTTATCATCGCCCCAGAGAGTTCCCGGGATGAAACATTTAACGCCAATCTATCCACAAATCAACATACATGTCTGTGTTACGCCGCCAGACTGAC